TTAGCATTAGGTGTGTCTAGTGTTTATCTCTCACCATGTTTAAGAAATATTACTGTTTAAAATAAGTTACCTGTTCTGGATACTGTAAGAGCGTGCAGTAAAACATTCTTATTATAGCCTGTTTGTGTGTGGTAGGGGTAACGGGAGTGATGGGGGTTGGAGGAAGAACAGAAGGATCCACCTATTTGAAAATCTGGCATTTCATTATAAAAAATCACTTCAGTTAATACTAAAATAAGGATACATGACATTGTAACATGAACTGGGTGTTAAAAGACAATGTGCTACTATTGGTGGGTTAATACACTTTGTTTTTTCCTTTTAGAAGAAAAAATCAGCACTTTTTGAAGTGTCTGAGGTTATACCAGTTATGACAAATAATTACGAAGAAAATATCCTGAAAGGTGTGCGAGATTCTAGCTATTCCTTGGAAAGTTCCATAGAGCTTTTACAGAAGGATGTGGTACAGCTCCATGCTCCTCGATACCAGTCTATGAGAAGGGTAAGTTCTGTTTGTCAGTCCTGATTTGGTAAGTTTTTACAAGTTAAACTTACATTTTTTTCCCCCTAAGAATGAAGTTTACTTCAAATAAAACATGGATGACTTTTTGTGTGTGGTGTTATGCTGATAGCGGTGTGTATTATTGGCCGTGAATAATGTTTTATGTTACTGTTTATTGGATTTTCTTTTTTGGGGAGAGAACTGACGTGCTCCTTGTAAGTTAAAGTAGAAGGAATTACTGCTGTCAGTCTTCTAAATTTCTGCAACTCTTTGGAAGTTAGTATGAACATATTTGAACAGGAGATCCCCACAATTAGTGGCGTGGGGGAAGGTTAGAAAGAACCATGTACTGGTCTGAAAAGTTTACTGGCCTTTGAAAATTAATACGCTGGACTATGATAGTAAGGAACAAGAATGGAGAAAATACTTTTGTGTAAGTATATAATAAAAATACCAAGACAGCTTTGCTTATATATTAACTAGGTTCTGCTTTTGAAGAATGGAAATAAAAAATACTGGGACTTAACCAGAAAAATCAGCCTGAGTTGGAGTCTTCACCATGTGCTGATTAATCTAGGTCTTGATATGAGCAACATTGGACTGAGTATGTGGACTCTACAAGATAAAGATTAGAAGTAGGCCATGGGCTAGTCAGATTGGGTACTGTTCTATTTTTCTTACCTCTTAATACATAAAATGATGCTTCACGCACCTTCTGTACTTGTGAAATGTTTCTGTAATCAAACCTGTAATTGGTGACATTCATTGCTTGTTATAACTTTGTTTCTTTGAAAGTAATTTTTTTTTTTTTTGGTCATTTTATAGGATGTAATTGGCTGTACTCAGGAGATGGATTTCATTCTTTGGCCTCGGAATGATATTGAAAAAATTGTCTGTCTCCTGTTTTCTAGGTGGAAGGAATCTGATGAGCCTTTTAGGCCTGTTCAGGTATTTTACTCTAAGTGTGGTGTGCACTTAAGTGAGTAAATAGGGCCTAACTTAAATTTTTTGAGAATATGTGTTCTAATCAGTTTTAACTCATGAGTTGCTCTCGTCTGTTTGGATATTGTGATGCAAGAGGAAAAAGCATTTGGGTGACAGAATCTCTTGAGAATGAGAGGTGGTCCTAACTACTCCAGTGTGTCTTTGAAATAACGGCTAGAGAAAATCTTTGAGGATGGATTTACAGAGGGGCCCATGAATGAACTCAGGTGATCTCTCCTCTGAAATTGTACTTCCAAAATAGTATACCTAACCATCTGGTTCTCAAAGGAGTCTGATATAAGAAATCCTTTTCTAAAAGTAGATTTGTGTATAAAACTATACAAGAGAGGAGTAAATCTGGTAGTGGTGATGAAGTAATCTTCCTGGACATCCCTGCCAACTTTTGACTTGTCATTTGATGTACTAGTTTCTAGTGTTGAAGAGCATTTGCCCTTGAGGCAGTGATCCTAATTTTATGTATGGTAGCTTTATATGCATAGGAGAAAGTAAAGTAATCTCCCCTGAAATACCAATATGGTTACTTCTAGGTCAGGTATGGCCAAGTTTTATTCTACATATATGTAAATGTCATAAATACATCAATCATACTTATATCTATAATAAAAATAGCGAAAATTATGATTGAAAAAATTTTGCATTTATCCATTACTATGAAGTATCTTTATGGTGCTTTTGTGTATGAACAAATTGGTATACTCCCCCTGTCCCCATGGTAATGTTCTGCACAACAGCTCAAATTATCGTTCTTTTTCTAAGATTCATTTGACAGAAATAAGTTCTAAAGTTAACATATAGCCCTAAATGTGGGTAAAAGTATTGCGTATTCATGTTTTCCTTTAATGGATGATACTAACTCACGTGAATGTGCTGGAGAATAGAAGTTTAATGTGGCAAGCAGGAAGACCAGGAATGATGGGGCGTGTTTGTAGTTATCAGAGCATGTCTTACGCATCAGCTGTAACTGCTGTCCAGAAGCACTGGAAGGATTTTTTTTTTTCATTCAGAATTTTTCACTGGGAAACTGGTTCACTTCTCCCTGTATTTTTAAAAATTTCCAATTCTCTTCTCTTTCCCTCTGAGACCTTATTTGGGATAGTTGTGTTAAAATAGTCTTGTCTCAAGTCAAGCACTACTTTTTCAAATAATGGTGTTTGAGAGTTGTGCTAGGCTGTCTCCTGAATATATACATTTAATCTTCATCCTTACAATAACGATGCAGACAGGAGCCTCCTTTTGCCAAGGAAGACGCTGAGGCAGTTGCAGATTAGCTAAACAGCCCAAGGTCATGCAGTTAAGTGGCAATCAAGATGTAATTCCTGTAAAGCTTATGCTCAGAATTTGCTACTCTGTACTGTGGGAAGTGCTCTGTATTATAAAAACCTAATATTATGGACTGAGTGTAAGCACTATATAGGGTAGAGGTGGACTGAGTATAAGCACTATATAGGACAGAGGTAAGTTTAGAGTTCAGCTTCAGGAAACAAGTTAATAGTGTAAAGATGAACTTCCTTCCCTTGTAATTTAAAATAATTAGTATCCTGAATGAGAGGTCATAAATATAAATAATTTCATTCTTGAGGTAAATGAAAGAAGGAAACATAAACTTCAATTTGAAAACTTTCTTTTTTTTTTTTGATTCTTTGACTCTTGAAGCACTTTTTTTTTTAACTTTTTTTTTTTTTTTTTTGAGAGAGACCAGGCGTCAGTGGGGGAGGGGCAGAGAGCGAGGGAGTTACAGATTCTGAAGCAGGCTCCAGGCTCCGAGCTGTCAGCAGAGCCAGAGGCAGGGCTCAAACTCACGGACTGTGAGATCATGACCTGACCTGAGCCAAAGTTAGACACCCAACTGACTGAGCCACCCCGGCGCCCCTTGAAGCACTTTAAAGTTTGAATAGTAATGAGATTTAGTAGGAACCAGAGTAAAGGTTGTTTTTCAATAACAAGTTCCTACTATATTCAAAGTACTAGGAGGTACACGTTAAAATCTCTCTTCTTTCCTCTTTATCCCTAAATGCTCTTGGCTGCGTTAGTTCTTCATCACACTGTTCAAATATTTTGTTACTTCTCGGCATTGCTTTCATGCTGCTTATTAGGGTTTTCTTTTTGGTGGGGACTATTCCTTCCTTCCCAAATCTTTATGTATTCAATAGGATAGAACTGAAATGCCACAGAAACATAGCCCTTTTCAGTCTCACTGAAATCTCTCTTCAGTGTGATGTTCTACTGGCCTCTTCTAGTCTCTCCCTGGTATTGCCATACTGGAATACTGGAAGCTTTCTTACTTGAACAGTTTTTTGTTTTTTTTTAAGTTTTTTAATAATTGTTTATTTTTGAGAGAGAGAGGCAGAGTGCAAGCAGGGAGGGCAGAAAGAGAGAGGGAGACACAGAATCCGAAGCAGCCTCCAGGCTCTGAGCTGTCAGCACAGAGCCCGATGTGGAGCTCAAAGTCACGAGCCGTGAGATCATGACCTGAGCCCAAGTTGGATGCACAACTGACTGAGCCAGCCGGGTGCCCCACTTGCTTGAATAGTATTTTAATTTTGACACATTTGTGCTTAATGTTGGCCCTGTTTCCTGGAATGGCATTTTCCAAATTACCTTTTCTTAGCGCTTTCCTGGGGAAAATTACTGTCCTCTTTCAAGGCCCAATCCACAATCATTTGCTAATACTGCCTACAGCGCCTGCTGTGTTAATTATTTCTCCCTTCTTGTCGTAGCACTCTGAAGATAGGAACTCAATTTAGGGTTTTACAGATAACCTCAGCTTATTCTAGGAAAGATTTGAAGCAAGTTAGGTTTTATATTTGCATGTGCGTGTCCTTTTGAGCTGTGTCAGAGCCTTAGTAGCCTTATTTTCATATTCATAAATATTTGAATTTGTGCAGACATACAGTCGAATATCCTTTTTCCATGCAATAGTGTGGGGGTAGCATATCATTTTATGTTATGGCTTATAAGAGAAGCTAGGCAGTCAAATTCTAGATCGCAGGAACTGGTTTTTCCTTGTCAGTGTTTCTTGCTGTCTTGACATAAGAAGATAAAAGTTGAGTCAAATGGACTAACAGTCTTTCTTAAAATAATTGAACATTATATAAATAAAGAGATCTTTAAGGTTTCTCTGCTTTTTGAATTCTCCATTAGCCTGGTTGTTTCACCCAGCACTTAGTGTCTCCATGGACGTTTTGTGGGAGGATGGAGTTGATTTTCCTCATGTTAAAAGAGTAAAAGGATGTTCTGATTTGAGAATACTTCTTCCTAACTTAAAGTTTTTTTTAATCTGAAAAAACCCCACATGAAAACATCTTTAAAATTTTGAGGGGTTCATAACATCCTCAAGTCCATCTATGTTAGGACTGGATACCTTTCAGGTGTGGGCTTTATGTATCATTTAATCCCCTTAACTGTCCTGATGGGTTAGAACCTGAGATGAAACTGAAGTTTAGAAAAGTTAGGGGATATGTACAAGGTCACGTAAGTAGTAACATGTACTGCTGAGATTGGAATACATCTCTTCGTAAAAGCTATCTGTAGTGTGTTCTTTATAATAAAAAGGAGGGAGGTGTCATTCGGCTTATTTAAGCATTACATTGGGGGACACCAAATATGTTGGAAGTCTTGAGCCATGTAGGTTTGAAAATCTAGTTTTATAGAATTTGGCCTAAAATCATCGAGAATGAGGATCTAGTCACCCTGATGCAGTGTTTTTCTTGAAGGTCGAATTCTGTAATGGAGTGCTGTTCACTAGAACTTTCTGTGATAAAGGCAATGCTATGTATCTCAACAGACTGTTCAGAATGGTGGCCACTGGCCACATGTGATTATTGAGTATTTGAGATGTGGCTAGTGTATGCGAAGGACTGAATTTTAAAATGCATTTAATATGTTAAACTTGAGTAGGCACAGTTGGCTACCGCATTGGATGGCACAACTCGATGCCTGTGGATGCGGTAGATGTTTCAAATAGGGTAACGTCTTTGTACTTACATGTAAATGTGTTTCTTAATTAGGCCAAATTTGAGTTTCATCACGGTGACTATGAAAAACAGTTTCTGCATGTACTGAGCCGCAAGGACAAGACTGGAATTGTTGTCAACAATCCTAACCAGTCAGTGTTTCTCTTCATTGACAGACAGCACTTGCAGGTAAGCATTTTTTAATTTTAATTTTTTTTCCCTGCCTGCCTGCCTTCCTTCCACTTAACTCCTCATTTAAAAAGCTTATTCGTTAGGGGTGCCTGGGTGGCTCATTTTGTTAAGTGTCCAACTCTTGGTTTTGGCTCAGGTCATGATCTCACAGTTTTGTGAGTTTGAGCCATGTGGAGCCTGCTTGGGATTCTCTGTCTCCCTCTCTCTGCCCTTTCCCCAATCATGCTCTCTCTCTCAAAATAAATAAACTAAAAAAACAAAAAACAAAAAACTTGTCAGCAAAAGATTTTTTAAAAATGTTTATTTTTGAGAATGAGTGCAAGCGGGGTAGGGACAGAAGGAGAGGGGGACAGAGGATCCAAAGAAGTCTCTGCACTGATAGCAGAGAGCCTGATGTGGGGCTCGAACTCACAAACGGGGAGATCCAACTGAGCCACCCAGGCACCCAGCAAATTATTTTTCCATATGCGTTAATTAATTCTGTTTTGCCACTTAAAAACTGCATTATTTTTGAAGTTATTTAAAAATCAAAAGATACCCTGGGCCTCACCCTAGAATAGTGGTTCCCAAACTTTGCTGCATATTAGAACTGCCTGAGAGCTTTTAAAAGTCATGATTCTAGTAAACTCCATTGAACTTAAAACAGCGTGGGTTTTTTGTTTGTTTTTAAATTTTAACATTTATTTTCGAGGGATAGAGACAGAGCATGAGTGGGGGAGGGGGAGACAGAGAGAGAGAGACAGAGTCTGAAGCAAGCTCCAGGCTCTGAGCTGTTTTGTTAGCACAGAGCCCAACGCGGGGCTTGAACTCACAAACTGCGAGACCATGACCTGAGCTGAAGTCGGAAGCTCAACTGACTGAGCCACCCGGGCACCCCAAAACAGTGTTTTAAGAAACCCTGCGGTAGAGCTTTTCTAAGTAAAGTACGGTCAACAGATCATAGCAGATTCTTAAATATGTGGACTCTCAGGCCCTACCCCAATCCTACTTGATCAGAATCTATGTTTTGAACAAAATCTTCAGGTGGTTAGTAACACAGATTATGTTTTGAGACGCTGTAGCCTTAGATCTTATAAATAAAAATCTGGAGGCTTCTTGGTGGCTCAGTCGGTTAAACGTCCGACTTCAGCTCAGGTCATGATCTCTCAGTTTGCGAGTTGGAGCACCACATCGGGCTCTGTACTGACAGCTCTGAGCATGGAGCCTGCTTGGGATTCTGTGTCTCCCTCTCTCTCTGCCTTTCCCCTGCTCACGCTCTGTCTCAAAAATAAATAAACTTAATTAAAAAGATTATTTTTTTTAAAAATCTGAAGGGATAAAATACATCTGTATTTAAAAGATCCAAATGTGTTTTAAATAAGCACTTTCAACTTAAGTGATGATACTCAGGTTGATGAGATAAAGAACATTCTACAGAATAAAAAAAAATCTGGAATACCTGCATCACTTAAGTGATGAATAAGTTAGAATTTATAACATGTTTTGTTATTAACCTTTAAAAATAGCATCGCTTGGGGCGCCTGGGTGGCGCAGTCGGTTAAGCGTCCGACTTCAACCAGGTCAAGATCTCACGGTCCGTGAGTTTGAGCCCCACGTCGGGCTCTGGGCTGATGGCTCAGAGCCTGGAGCCTGTTTCCGATTCTGTGTCTCCCTCTCTCTCTGCCCCTCCCCCGTTCATGCTCTGTCTCTCTCTGTCCCAAAAATAAATAAACGTTGAAAAAAAAATTAAAAAAAAAAATAAAATAAAATAAAAATAGCATCGCTTTAATTACCATTCATTCAACAAATGAATGCCTACTACTATGTGCCAGGTGCTGTGCAACAGTGAACCCATTAGACAGAAATTGTGTCATCAGGGACTCCCACTGCATGGTAGGGGAGGCCCAGCAGCAGAGAAGTACAGTATGCAACTCACGTGATGAGTGCTAAGAGAAGATGGTGCGGGGTACGTAAGCCATTGGGTCAGAATTCTTAAATGGTGTCACCAGAGAAGGCCTCACCGGGCAGGTGATTTAGAAGAGTATTTATGATACTAGTTATGCATTGTAGAACATTGTTTATTTTTACTAGAGAGTATGACAGTAAAAACATGAAGGTGAATCATACTGCTACCTTCAAGGAACTGAAGACTCCTTAGGAAGATTATATGTTGACTCTGTATCTTGTAAGAACGTTTTAAAACACATATGGTATTATACGTACAAGTAAGAACTATGGGAAGAAAGTTAATTTCAGTGGAGGCATTTCATAAAACTAACAAAAACCTTACGACTTGGGTGGGTTTTGCGGGTTTTTTTTTTTTTGTTTCATCTTTACCTTAGCTCTCCTATGGTGGATATTTTGAAGTTGCCTTAGTTTTCCTTTTTAATTACTTGTAGTGTACTTTCATTTGAGTAACTTACTTAGATAATACTGGATAGCAGGCTGTTGACTTCTATTATGGAATCCACAATAGAGATTGAGAGAGTGTAAGGTGGGGAGAGGGCCAGAGGGAGAGAGAGAGAATCTTAAGCAAGTTTCACACTCAGCTCAGAACCCTACGCAGGGCTCAGTGTCACAACCCTGGGATCATGGCCTGAGCCGAAATCAAAAGTCAGACACTCAACTGACTGAGCCACCCAGACACCCCGATTATCACGCAAATGTACAGATCAATAATACTATATAGAATGGCTAGTGGCTTGAAGGAGTAACGTTGCTAAATAAGTAGGAAATCGTCTTCTGTTTTATATCAAAGTCAGATGTTTATGCTTTATGAAGCAAATAGCTTGAATCCTTTTAATGAAAAGAAAGTTGTAAGCTTGTCAGCTAAGTTCATGTTGTAGGTAGGGTGACCAGCAGTCTGTCTGTCTGTCTGTCTGGAATGCCCTGATTTTTGCATTGAAAGTCCCAAGTCCTAGGAACCTTAATTGTGGGCAGTGCGATGGCTGGTGTCAACCCTGACTGTAGATGCATCTGGTCTCCAGTGCTCTTAGGTGCATCGTTCACTCCGGTCATTACTGGTCTTCCTGACCCGGAGATGTGTTGCCATACCTGCCCTGTCAAGAGGATCGAGGGACCCAACAGGGTGGCCAACGCAGGGTGCGTTACTTACCGGCCTCAAGGAGCCGTACGGGCATGAGCTCACGTCATCCTCCCCACAGTCCTGGGAGGCGTAGGTCTTCTTACTCCCATTTTAGAGGCGAGGAAATCAGGAAACGAAAGAACTTGATCACAGTCGTCTAGCAGAGATCGTATGTCCTTCATAATGCAAGATGTATGGAAAGAGCTAGACCAAATGATAATTTTGGAGGGGAATGTGGTAGAGAGGCACGTGGCTGGAGTCTGGGTTCTAATCCACATGCAGCCACTGACTGGCTGTGAAATCTTGGACAGGTAACTTCTGTGAGTGTGTTTTTTTGTTAAATTGAATAAACGATATTCGGAAGGTTGTTGTAGCATTTAAAGTGAAAAAATAGCACCTGGGTGGCTCAGTTGGTTAAGTGTCTGTTGGTTTTGGCTCAGGTCATGATCTCGTGGTTTCCTGAGTTCGATCCCCACGTCGGGCACTGTGCTGGCAGTGTGAAGCCTGCTTGGGATTCTCTCTCTCTCCCTCTCTCTCTCTGCCCCTCCTAACTCATGCTCTCTCTCTCTCAAAATAAATAACCTTAAGAAATTTCTTTAAAGTAAAAAAATACATGTGCATTATGTGGTTTATTTATGTATAGAGACTGCTTTTTTTAAAGGTGCTGAAGTGAAAAGAACTTTGAAGGCGGGCGGTTCAAGGGTTTTAGATTCCGTCTTCCGTTTACTGGCAGTGGTGATCTGTGAAAGCACCTAGCACACTTGCCATAAGCTAGATGTTAAATGGTGACTTTTTTTTTTTTTAATGTTTTGTTTTTTGAGAGAGAGCTGGGGAGGGTCAGAGATGTTGGGGGGTGGGGGGGTGGAGAGAGGATCCCAAGCAGGATCTGCACGGTCAGCACAGAGCACGATGCAGGTTTTGAACTCACAAACCGGAGAGATCATGACCTGAACTGAAATCGAGAGTTGGACACTAAACTGACTGAGCCACTCAGGTGTCCCCAAGTAACTACTTTTTAAAAATAATACTTACAGTTTTATTTTTCTGGTAATACTTTTGCTTTCTTCCAGTCCTTTACCCCCGGTTATGCTTCAATCTTTCTTTTTTCTATTTCATATCTTTGCCCTCACTTCTATGACACTTTTGTTGTCCTTGTATATACAGACATGACTTCAAACTTCTGTTAAGATGTGTCTCTATGGCCTTTAACCTTATTTTCCTTTAGCAAGTTGTCCAAGTTGACTTTTCTGACTTCAGTTTTTTGTTTGAATAAACTCTCTAAATGTTTGTTTAGTTTATAATCATGCTTATTCTTTCTGTATTTTATATGGCAAGGTTGTGTCTTCCTAACTAGACTGTGGTCCCTGTGGGTACAGACTGTTATCTGTTCCCTTGATCTGTGTGCTTTATTGCTGTGTGTAAGTGCTTGATAGAATTATGGGAGATTGACTTCATGTGACACTTGATGGGTTATGTAAAGGTCTTCTTTATTAAGATTAAAATGATTCCCCTTGCAGACTCCGAAAAACAAAGCTACAATCTTCAAGTTATGCAGCATCTGCCTCTACCTGCCGCAGGAACAGCTTACGCACTGGGCGGTTGGCACCATAGAGGACCACCTCCGTCCTTACATGCCGGAGTAGGGGCCTGACCAGCAGAGCGGAAAGGATCAGGGAGCGCAGCAGCATTTTGTTTCCTTGTTTTCTTACACTTTATTCTTTCAGAGTTTAAAGAAAATGGACTCATGCACAGAACACTATGCATTTTGAAACGTGTTCATCCTGGATTTTTTTTTTTTTTTTAATTATTTGTGTCTCAGAACTTAAAAAAAATTAGGTGTCTTCTGCACGGACTGTGTGAAAGAAGATGCTTTGCATATTTGCTGCACTGCATCAGCATTCTGCTAAAAATGTGAAGTGAAAGGACAGTTGTACACTGAAATGCTTAAATGTATCTGAAAGCACAAGGTGATACTCTTTTTTGATGGTCTTTCCATTTATGCTGGTTTTTGCCTCTCTGACGTCTGTCATCAGTATTTAGAGGGTGAGAAGGGAATGTAAAAGGTATACATAACATTGAAACAAACGGAATAGCTTTGCCGTAATCACCGTCGTTCCAGAGCACTGTCAGATTCATTCTAATGACCACAAGTGGTTGTTTAAAAAAAAAAAAAAAAAATACAACCACGGGGAAGAAATCTTTTAAGAAAAAAAAAAGCATCTCATTGTAGGCATTCTTGCCTCATGTTTTACTGGGCCATGTTTGTTTCCTGGTACTCATAAATAAATGTATGTATTTTATTTCCAGATCTCTTTCCCCAAGTTGTTGTTATAAAAGAGTATTCTGCTGAATGTGGATACAGTTCTACACATTAAAGCAGATCTGGAGTCTGAAGTAGCTAATGCAGCTGTAAAACTGAGAAATCCATGCATAGCTGCAGAAATCATAGAGGACTTTCCTTTTTTGGTTTTTGTTTTTTGGTTTTAAAGAGAAGAGGTTTTTATTACAAAGAAAACGCAGTGAATTGTGCAGAAATACTGGTTTCTACACCATCCTAAAAGAAAACTTTAGGAGGGTTTCTTGGAATAGAAAAAAGTTACTAAAGTTGGCATCTTAAATTGTTAAAAAAAACAAAACAAAACAAAACACTGAGTGTCAAAGCTCTAAAAGCAGAACTCATTTTGTGCAATGAACATAAGGAAAGACTACTGTATAGTTTTTTGTTTTTTCTTTTTAATGAAGAAAAGCTTTGCTTAAGGGTTGCATACTTTTATGGAGTAAATCTGAATGATCCTACTCCTTTGGAGTAAAACTTAGTGCTTACTGGTTTCCAAATGTATTTAGCTTCTGGTTGGAATTTGAAAAAAATGAAAACCTAAATAAAATAGGTGAAAGTTCCCTGACTATTCAGGTGAATACACAAAACTGAAGTGGTAACTTTTTTTTCCAAGTCGCTGGGTGGTGTTACTGATGACCTTGGGGGTTATGTTACAGTCCATAGCACACAGTAAACTCAGGACAAAAACCATTTGCGTTTGCAGTTTCAAGAATAGGAATCAAAGACATTTTGTAAGCCTTAACAGGTATCAGGTTGGCCTTGTTCCTTCATGGAAAAGAAAAATATTTTTTAAAGTAGGCTTCACACCGACCGGGGGCCTGGACTCAACATCCCTGGGATCACGAGTTGCATGCTCCACCAACTGACCCAGCCAGGTGCCCCAAGAAGTACTAATTTCAAAATGCTTCCACGTTTTCTCATCAATTGAAAATTTAGAATCTACTTGAAATCACAGCTTTGAATGTTTATCATGGCCAGGTCCTGTTTGAAGCTCTGGTCTCACAAGCCTGAGTGGAAAGAGCTGCAGAGGTTCAGTAACTTGCCCAAGCTCACGTGCGGAGCAGGGAAGATTTAAAACCAGGCCAGCTGTCTGTGTAGGATCCAAACTCTTCATTGTTGTACTATGTTGAATTATACTGGATGTATTCAGTAAGTCAGTTTTTAATTTTATTTTAGAGTCAATTTAGAAAAGGTGTAATACACAAAACTCCTGTATAACCTTTACCCGTGTCTTAGCCACATTTTTTCCCACTTTTTCTAGATAGATATATATATATATGTCTTTTCTGAACGATCTGAGCATTTGGTACATATGTCATGGGTACATCTTTATTCCTTCTAGTGCTTCAGCCTAGGTCCCAAGTACAGGGATATTGTATAACCACAGGGAAGTAACCAAATCCAGGAAATGCAGTGTTGATACACCTTCACCTGTCCATATTCCAGTTTTAATTGTCCTAATATCCTCATGTCTTTTTTAAACCGTTGAATGTAGCTGTCACACCTCTAGTCTCTAATCTGGACCAGGTCATTAGCCTTTGTTTAATAACCTTGACATTTTTGAAGAGTAGGCTAATTTTTAAAAAAAAATATAAGGTGTTCCTCATTTTGCATTTGAATGCTGTTTCTTTTTCCACAGTTAAATTTGGGATTATTCTGGCCAGCACCCAATCCAGAAGTGCACTGTCAAGTTGCTCTTTGTTAATGTTAATTTTGATTGATCAAGGCCTGTTTCTGCATTGTAAAGTTACTGTTTTCCCCCCTTGAAACCAAGAAGCAATCTGGAGAGCAACGTGGAAGTACCCTGCTTTTCATCAGTGTTCTACTGAGTTCTGATTTTTGCTGTAACCAGTCTTTCACTAGGATAGCTACAAATTGGTAATTTTCCATTATTTACTCCTCCTTCCACATATATCAGCATTTTATTGTAAGGAAGAGCCCTCCCAGCTCTGCCATGGATTATCTACCTACATGGTGTGGATTCAATCCCTCTTTCCCAAAACTGCATAGTTTGCATGCCTCTTACTATTTGAACTTGAACACTTGCTTACTTTCAAGCACAAGAAATGTTCATGTCAATTTCCCTATCTCAGCCCCGTAGCCCCGGAATCCACTATTTTCTCCAAGGAGCCCAGGTTCGTTTTAGAGGGAAATCTCAGAAATCGAGAACTGGGTGCCCTGTGTGCTTACTGCTCCGGGGAAGTCTGCTCTGTTGAGCACAGATCAAGCACGTATTCCTAAACAAGCAAAGAATACTCAGCCTTTAACTGCTGATAGTGTTTCCAAATTTATTTAAAGTTGCTTCCTTTCTTTTTGATGTTTAGTTAATGAAATGTTCAGAAGGACCCCATGATGCAAAAATGAAATACTAAGAATGCCACGTTCAACAGAACTTGAGAAATGGACTAAGTGATTTGTGATTTAATCTTTCTGATCCCGTTTTGTGATCTGCATGGTTTTATTCTAGGTACTAGAAAAGGGGTAATAGTATGTTTTTCTCCCCGCCCTTAGTACAAAATATGCCAGTCCTATGATAAATTCTTTTCCTTTTTTTTTTTTTTTTTTAATTTTATTTTGAGAGAGTCGGGGGAAGGGTAGAGGTGGGGGGGGTGGGGGGAGACAGGGGCAGAGAATCCCAAGCAGGCTCTGCACCATCAGCTTGAAGCCCAAAGCAGGGCTCAAACTCACGAACCATGAGATCCTGACCTGAGCCGAAATCAAGAGTTGGACGCTTGACTGAGTCACCCAGGCACCTCAATAAATTCTCCATCAGAGAAAAACAGCACATCCATCGGACTATTTCCTATGTCACTAATGTGCTTTGCCTCAGACTTCATTGAGGACTATTTTAGGCTATACGGCTCAATCTATTTTATTTTCCAATATGAGCTATGTTTCATTAATTTTGAAGTTCCATAATCTTGAAATTGGGTTTTAAAAAAATGTAGCAGTTATTTTAAGAGCTGAGAAGGACATAAATTCACAGCTTAAGCATTTATATTTCCCTAAGTGCTTAAAATAGCTTAGTATTGGACTTTAAAAGTAATCTCATTTCAGGATGCCTGGGTGGCTCAGTCAGTTGAGTGTCCGACTTCAGCTCAGGTCACGATCTCACAGTCTGTGAGTTCAAGCCCCGTGCCAGGCTTTGTGCTGACAGCTCAGAGCCTGGAGCCTGCTTTGGATTCTGTGTCTCCCTCTCTCTCTGCCCCTCCCCCACTCATGCTCTGTCTCTCTCAAAAATGAATAAACATTAAAAAAAAAGTAATCTCATTTCAAAATGTCCTTGCTAGCTTCTTTGCTTTACCTAAGTTTTCAGAGACCCTTTCAGCTAAGAATGTTTTCACCCAATTATCATACATAGATTACAGACTGAAGAGGTTTAAGATGAAAAGCACCTCACTCACTGTCATTTTCTCCAAAGAAAAGATTTCTTCACCACTTCTGGTTGTGCTAATTTATTTTGAAAGTTACATCTGTTCAAGTCAAATTTACACTTGGTGTTCGCTGTTGGATTTCTTTAGGCGATGGTGTTCTGGTTTCCCAGGTGTTTTGTGTGTCTGCCTTGTGCTATTAATTTTCCCGTGGCCTTCTTCGTCACATCCACGGAGGTAAATGCAAGTGTTTTTCCTTCCTTCAGAACATGGGCTGTTATCACTATATCTTCTCCTATTTTAGCCGGTGCCATGTACCTTGAAGGGAAACAAATATAGTTAACAGCAAATAATTTTTTATTAAAATTCTGTATTTATTGGGGCGCCTGGGTGGCTCAGTGGGTTAAGCATCTGACTTCGGCTCAGGTCGTGATCTTGCGGTCCGTGGGTTCGAGCCCCGCGTCGGGCTCTGTGCTGACAGCTGAGCCTGGAGCCTGTTTCAGATTCTGTGCCTCCCTCTTTCTCTGACCCTCCCCTGTTCATGCTCTGTCTCAAAAATAAATGTTAAAAAAAAATTTTTTTTTAATAAAAAATTCTGTATTTATTTTTGA